ATGCCTATAACGTTTCAATTCATTTGGTTCCAATAAATAAGAATTAGAAAATCGTCAAAGATGACGGTGTCAAAACGTGCTCGCCCACGTTTTTTTTTTTGGTCCGCGTTCAGCCTGAACGGCCGAACGCCTTCCGAAGGGGTCCCGTACGTTCGGGCGTTCGGCCCGTCCCGAACGCCGACAACCCTGTATATATATATATATATATATATATATATCCATATTTGCCACCGGTACCTTGAGGGCAGTGGTTGGTGCCCACCTCAGGGTATCAGTTGTCCGGCAGTCGTTGATGCTTAACCACAGCCGGGGTTAAGGTGGATTATCACTTACAGCGTAATCAATTAGGGGATTCTGAAGACTGTTGAGGGTTCAGCCTCCTGACGAGTCGGTAAAACTCCGACGAAACAGTTTGACACAACCCCTCGTTTGTTGTCCTCTTCTCCCTCTCTGCCTACGGTTTACCGGGCAGCTCTGTTTGACTATATATATATTATATATATTGTCACATTATATATATAGGGTTGCCAGGCCGAACGTACGGAGGCCCCTAAGCTGACCCCCGAACGTTCGAGCATTCGGGTCCTCGTACGGGGCCCGAACTTTAAGGGGTTCGGACCCCGCAAAAAAACCTTTTAACACCTAAATATTATTATTTTTTTTACTGAAAAGTTTTGTGTGATTGCTTTGTGATATAAGGTATCTCCCTCTCAATTTTGAAGCCATTCTATTCATCCAAAAAAATATGAAAAATCCTCAAAGATGGTGGTGTCAAAACTTGCTTGCCCACTCACGAATTTGTTTTTTTTCTCTTTTCACTTTATGTTTTTCCTTTATTTCGGGGCACGAAAAAAAATATTATTTTTTCAAACTTTATTTGTAGATTCTCTCTATTACGTAAGATACACACAAAGAAATTTTCATGGCATTTGTCACAGCCCAAAAAAATAAAAAATCAGCGAAGATGACGGTGTCAAAAACGTGCTCGCCCACTCAATGATTTCATTCTTGTTTTATTTTTTTTAATTTCCATTATTATTATAATTTTTAGTTTTTGATTTTTATTTCAAATTTAGTAAAGAATTTGGATCTAACGTTGAGGCAAATGTTGTTTAGTTTAGTTTAGTCTTCCGTATAACATATATTTTTTCCATAATTTTTGGATTTTGGTTTTTTCGGGTCCGCGTTCAAACGCGTCGAGAGGGGGTGCCGAACGTTCGGGCGTTCGGGTTCGGGCGTTTGGCCCGTCCCGAACGCCGGCAACCCTATATATATATATATATCGTCACAAACAGAACTGCCCGGTAAACCGTAGGTAGAGGGAGAGAATAGGACAACAAACAAGGGGCTGTATATATATATATATATCGTGTATATATATATATATATATATATATATACGATATATATATTATATATATATATAGTTGTGAGGCCGAACGTACGGAGACCCCTAAGCTGACCCCCGAACGTTCGGGCGTTCGGGTCCCCGTACGGGGCCTGAACTCGAAGGGGTTCGGACCCCGCAAAAAAATATTTTGGTACCTAAACATTATTATTTTTTTCTGATTTTTCTTTTTGTGTGTTCTCTGTTATGTAAGCTACCGGTCTCTCAATTTTGAAGTCATTCTGTCGAGCCAAACAATAATGAAAAATCGGCAAAGATGGTGGTGTCAAAACTTGCTTTCCCACTTACTAGTTTGTTTTTTTTCTCTTTTCACTTTTTGTTTTCCCTTTATTTCGGGGCCTGAAAAAAAATATTATTTTTTCAAACTTTATTTGTAGGTTCWCTATTATGTAAGATACATATGTATAAAATTTCATAGCATTTGACAAAGCCAAAAAAAAAAAGAAAAATCTCCAAAGATGGCGGTGTCAGAAACTTGCTCACCCACGCAATAATTTCATTCTCGTTTTATTTTTTCTTATTTTCATTCATATTATTTATTTTTCGTATTTGATTTTTATTTCCAATTTGGTAAGTAATTTGGATGTACTGTTGAGGCAAATGTTGTTTAGTTTATTCTTCTGGATGACATATGTTTTTTTCAAAATTTTTGGAAACCTTTTTTGTTTTTTATTTTTTTGTTTTTTTTTGGTTCCGCGTTCGGCCGAACGTTCGAACGCGTCGCGGGGGTCCCAAACGTTCGGGCGTTCGGGTTCGGGTGCTCGCCCTGTCCCAAACGCCGGCAACCCTGTATATATATATATATATATATATATATATATATCGTCAAATAGAACTGCCCGGTAAACCGTAGGCAGAGAGGGAGAAGAGGACAACAAATGAGGGGCTGTAACAAACTGT